ATGTAATTAAGCTCTTGTTTGAGTGCCCGCTAACAGACATGACTGCAGCATTTGCGAGAGGAGTGTGGAGGAGTGTAGGGACCACGGTGGCCCACAGGACGTGCTCCTGTGCCCACTGCCATTCTCTGCATCAGGCAGGGACAGCGGCTTCCCCAAGGTTGGGGCCAACATGGACACTGTAGACAGGGACAGGGACACCATGAGGACAGATTTACAAGAGACTCTAGTCCCACCTCCCATTGAGGATAGAGACAGGCCCAAAAGTGGAGCCAGGGCCTCCAGGGCCAACCAGGGGGAGGACTGGCTTTGGGTCACTGCCAAGAGCCTTCAGAGCCAGCAACAAGCCAGAGGAGAGCCTGCCAGTGTGGCTGCACACGGCCCAGTCCCAGTCCCCTGAGCATGTGCCCTGCTGAGGTGTGTGTCTGTGTGTGCGTGTGTGTTCAGGGGATGGGCAATGCCTGCTGGATGTTTGAACACAGGTCCCCAACTACTGGCCATGTAACGTGGGACAGGTCACTCTGTGCCCGGCCCTTCATCTGTAAAAAGCAAGTTGTTGGGAGGAATCCACATGACAATGTTCCAAGATTGCCCACTTGCAGGACTTACATTCCCTATTAGTGGGATTATTTGTCCATTCTGCCCACCAGTCTGAATTCTTCTGGGAGGTGGGAGCAGTCTTGGGGATTCTGGGGAGTGAATATACCTGCTTGTCTTTTCCCAGGCACTGGAACTGGAGGGTGAGTAAATTCTACCAGGTCTATGTCCTCATGGCCAGTGAGGCTTCAGGCCAGTGATAGGGAGTACCAACCCAACACATCATCCTCAAATGCACAATCCAGCCCCAGGAGTGACCAAATGCTAATGAAGGAGAATTTTCATGCATATATTGCTGGCATAAATACTGATGGCTCCTTCTGATTAGAGACTGTTGGCTGGGCTCTGAGACATGGGTAGGAGTCATCTAGCAGAAGAAGCCAGGCCAGAGGCAGCATGTGCAAAAGCCCTGTGCTTGAAAAGGGAAGCCCTAAGAGACTAGAAGGTGGGAGATAAGGGCAGCAGCCGGAAACAAAGGATATGCACCACATGAGGTATGATTCAAAGCATCTGCGGCAGTTAAGGGGGTCAACTTGATGGCTTGGAAGCCACCCAGGAGATTGGCAGAGCACATTTCTGGGTGTTTGAGTGAGTCATGGAGATGAGACCTTGGGGACTATCTGGTCCCTCATGCCTTCCTCTCTGGCACTGTTCCCCTGATCTATTTTCTGGCCATCACGAACTAAGCATCTTTGCTCCACCATGTTCCTGCCTTGGAACCAGCTGTGTACTGAATCCCCAACAACCATAAGCCAAATTAAACCTCACCTCCTTTAAGTTGTGGGTGTCATGTATTATGTCCCAGCAGCAAGAAAGCTAATACAGCATTCCACACTTTAAACTATGGGAATAATACTACCAGCTTTGCTTGCAAAGACTCCCTCTCGCTACGGCCAAACACCAGACAGGTAGGGGCGGGTGTGGAAGGCCACCTGCGAAGCTAGTGCAGTAAGTGGTCCAGGTGAGAGCTGATGGTTGCTGGATGGGGCCACAGCTTTGGGAGATTAAGGGCATACAGTGGCCCTGAGAGGAGAGAGAATGCAGGTGAGGGAGAGAGGGGTGAGGACACCCCCTGCACGTGCTGCTGGCTGGAGGCAGAACTTCCACCAAGGACAGATCTGCAGGACTTGTCCAAATGCGTGGCCTCCCAGTTGGTCATTTTGCTACCTTTCCACATTTAATAATTTTGCAGATGAGGAAGCTGAAGCTTAGTTCTTGGGGGCCCAAAGGCTTGCCCTGGGTCTCTGGATATGCCCACAGCCTCCCACTGGGCATCCCGCAGAGCATGCTTGAAAAGCCCCTCTGAGGCAAGAGGCACAAGTCTGGCGCCTGAGGCAGAGCCGGGGCTTTCTCAGGAGACGGGATGAGTAATTTTGATAATTGAATTTCTGAGTTTGACTTAAAATATAGCCAAGATTGAAGAGGCAATTTGGCAGAGCCAGGCTCCCCCAGGCAGGTTTCTCTGCTTCCACAAAGCCGAGAACTTATTAACAAGATCACTCTTCTCCATCCACAGGCCATTTACATGCAGTTCTCAGGCTTCTGTGTGTAGGAATTCAATTGTGGGTCTCCAGGCCCCTGCTCTGTTCACAAGGAAACATGTCCGAGGGGCAGGGTGAGGACTCTGGCTTGCAATGCAGAGAAAGGCTGCAGTTTTTCAGGCAGACAGCGTGGGGGAAGGCTGGGGTGGGGTGATCCTGGGGCAGGACAATCCCGACACCAGGTTCTGACAGGCTCAGGTTCAAATCCTGCCTCCACTGCCTAATTTGCTCATTTGTGAAATGATCCAAGGGTGCAGACTGCAGGCTACTGTGAGCCAGGTGGGTGCCGCCTAGAGGGTCATGGATATCACTTTCCACCTCCTGACAGGTGGTGGGCAGGTAGGCTTCTGAGGGGAGTCAAAGCGCCACTCCCAAGGCAGGTGAGCAGAGCCCAGTGCCTTTGCCTTTCCTTCTGCCCCTACTTCTCTCTCTTCCCATGTATACACAGACCCTGCAGCTGTTTCTCTCAGGTGTGGCTGCTCAGGCACATGTGGTGATTAATTTTACCGATGGGAAATTGACACATTTTCTGATTACTGCTTCAGAGCCTCCTGAATTCAGCTGCTGGTAAAATTAACTCACCAGAGACAATGGAGCTTTTTCCAAATTGTCCTTATTTGCAGTTTGTTCTTGGCTCTGATCCAGCCCAAACAAACCAGGCTGCTCCTCCACCTCCCAGAAGCAAGAGGGCCTTCACTAGACCAAGGTTAGGAATGTTTTTAAATGAAGGATAAAAATATGTTTAGGATTACTGTGTTCCTGGAAAGCCATGGCTGACCTGGTGAATGGTTAGCTGAGCTCCCAGAGGCCCTGCTCCCAGACAGGCTCAGGCTTAGCAACCAGACTGCCCTGGATGGACCAGGGGCCCCTCCCTCACCCCCCATGCCATTGGCAATGACCAAGTTCAGCTCCCACACGCTGTGTACTAACCATGTACAAAGCAAAACAGTACTGCTCCCCTTCGGGTTCATTTGAACCTAGGTCTGACTTTAAGCCTAGCCTGAGTGCTAATCATGTGAATAGCCCCCCCCCCCACACACACACACACACACGAGCGTGCGCACATTTGTGTACATTTGACAAAGGAATTCCAAAAAGCACTATAAAAACATGCTCAGGACCAGCCACAGAGACAGTGAAGATGAGTCACTGATTTTTGGCAAGTGTTCTCCAGCTCCTTCCAAATGTTGAAGCTCACAACTATCACCAGGATTAGGCAGAAGAGGGACTCTCATTTGCCAGATGTGGAGACTGAGGACAGAAATATGAGAGCCAGGACTGGAATCCAGACCTCCTCTGCACTCCTCAGCAGACTAAGCTTCCTCTCAGGAAGTCCATGACATGACTTCTGGAAAAGGGAACTCTATTTGTGATGTGATGTCTGGAGCTAGTTTTCACATGTGGGCAAGTACAAAAACAAGGTGCAGCTACTCAAGAAGAAAGTAGGCGATGGGAAGCCAAACCGGAAGCATCCTCCAGACACCTGCCCAGCCCCTCACTGAATGGATGGAGGTGAGGATCACGGTGTCTGGGATGCACCTGTCCTGGACTTCCCTGCATTCTGCTCCCTCTGTCTCCAGCCAAGCAGCTGCATCACTTTGGATCATCATCATGTCTGGAGGCCGAGGGCAGCCACTCCTGGGTTTAGAAGGACAGGAGGGATGGAGGCCCAGTTCCACCACTCACAGGCTAAGACCTTGGCCTTCCGGTGCAGAGACCCTGACCACCTCCACAAGAGACAGAAGAAAGGGTACAGGGCAGAGATGAGAATCTCTGAGGAGTCAGAGGAGAGTGTGAGGCAGCCAGCAGGCTGGAAGCCTGGCAGTCTGTGGCCAGAGGCCGAGTATCAGCATGCGGGACTTCAGAGGGAAAGCAAACTGAGGGGTCACCCAAACAGATGCTCAAGTCCGCACAATGATGGCAGAAATGGGGACAGAGAGACTGAGTCAGGGTTCTGTGGGCTCCTCAACCAAGGCCCATCTGCTGGCCGGAACCTGCTCTTTGGCACCTGATAATGGGATTGGGGTCATGAGGCAGTAAGAGCAAGCCCAGGTCGTACAGCATCCCAGTCTGCCCCTGCCTCTCAGGGGGGCCACACACCTGGGACCAGGCCTGAGACCCATCTGCAAAGGCGGTTCAGCCCTGCTTCGTTTATTTCTCAGGGACACTGCGAGGCTTATGGCATAGATAAGGATAACCAGGCACGAAGATCCATGACAGGGCAGCAGCAAGAATGCCAGCAGCAGTGCAAACAGCTGAGGGGACAAGTCACTATCCCCACTGGGCCAGTCCAAAGGCTAAGTCCCAGCTCCGGGCTCACACAGCTCCTTCCTAATGAGGAACAGTGCCACCTCAGATGAGTGCTCTGCAAGATCACTGGGCGAAGGCACAGTGCCCAGAGCCAGGCCACAGGGAGTCCCTGCCCTGAACACCCCCGAGTGGGCTCAGCAGTGAGATCTGGGCAAGACCCGAGGGCCATGGGGTTCCTGAGACCCTGGCCCGTCCCACATGGGAGTTGGGGCTCAGGTCCCACACAATCCCCAAATCAGGCCATTGAAATGAAGTGAGTCATTTAAGAAGCTTTAAACCATGGTGCTGGCTGGGAGAACTAGGCAAACTCAGGGGAGCCTGTGAAGCCACCAAAGGCACAGCCTCAGCCCCAGATCCCTGCGCAGATTCAAACCCAGTGCAGCATCCCAGAGTGCAAGGCCTTCCTAAGCCCTCGTCTCAGAGCCCCTGAACCTCTGGGACGACCACCCTTAAGCGAACTTGGGACAAAGCACCGAGAGAAGGACAGATGTCCTAGGGCCAATCAGCCAATTCTTCCTCCACCACCAGGAGCCACATGGGAAACAGACACATGGCGTGATCTGGGGCCACAAGCTTTATTGGCTTAATTGGCTGGCAGTCATCCTCAGGAGCCGGGTCTGCTGGGACTGGCTGTCCCCGGGTGGGCCCCTCCGGGCCTAAGCTAGGAAAAGGGAGGATAGAAAGGAGAATTTTAGGTCAATGGAGGGTTTCTGAAGTGAGATTCCCCAACAGAGTTAAAGGCCAGATGTTACTATTAAACTGTTTTCAAAGACACAGTCTGATCAGTAAATGTTTACAGAACAAAACGACAATGAGATCACACTGTGCTCATTCCCTCCAGGAAACCTTAACAAATGCCTACTACGTGCCATCCACTGATTGCTATGCTTCTCACTAGTAAAAAAAATCTAAATATTAGAATAGCCACTTATGACAGGCACGATAAAATGAAGGGGAGGGAATAAAAAAGATAATAGAAGGAAAAATTGAAAACAAAGCTTTTGTGAACAAGCAGGGGAAAAAGGGTTGTTGAGGGAGAGAAGAATCAAGATACACTATGTACAGGTACAAATTCCTGTGAATGTGATCATTATGTATATTAATTTTAAACTATGGAAGTTTTCATTCTCTGCTGGCAGAAAAATACAAGTGTATGCGGAGGACATGTCCACTGGCTCCACCTTCAACTTCAGGGCTTCAAAGGGTTCAAAGGAAGCCAATTCTGGACCTGCACCCACCTACCCACCAGGGGCTTTTCAGAGAAAGAAACTCAAAGGGGCATTACCTCCAGGTTTCCTCTGGCCTTCCGCAGGACTTTGTGAGTGACGATCACTGAGGAGAAAGAAGGCAAAGGAGGAATGATGAGACACTGATGTCAGGAGAGCAGGTGAAAACCGAGCGCAGAGAGGAAGAGCCCCAAGCTGGAGGGGTCAGCCACACGGACAGCCCTAAACATAGGACCGGAGAGAAGCCCACAGGCCCCGCCAGTCCCATCATGTGGCCCAGGGCCAAAGAATCCATCCAAAAGGGCAGACTGTGGACACCTCTTCAGGTCCTCACTAAGCCATAACCTCTCAGGGACATGAAGAGCAGAGCAGGCTATGCTGTTTCATAGAGGGGACACCAGGGCTCTACTTTTCCAGCTGGCTGCCCAGGTACCCCAAACTCACCTTTGTGAGGCACAGGCAGCAGAGAGTCCTGGCCTGCCAGCACCCTGAAGCAAACACATGTGTGAAGCCATGGTTTACCCAGTGGTTCTTGCAGCAAGCTCTTCCCAGCCTGGGGAAAAGAACCCTGGGCATTTCTGTCTCTGTTGCCTGCTGCAGCCCCGTGTGCTTCCCCCAGGCAAGGCTCACTCTGCAGGGACAGGCACAGGCTGGTGGCTGCAGGGGATGCTGGGAGCTGGGCAGGCTGCAGAATGTGGAGAGAGCAGCAGGAGTGCCCACCTCTCAGCGAGCTCCTTTGAGGAAGGGCTGCTGCCTCGCTCATTCTCTTCTTGAACACAAATATAGCAGCGGCAGGAAGGGCACTGCTCAAGGGGTTTGGAGCTGACCTTGAACCTATTCTGACCAGAGCATGGCAAAGGCAGGAAACCAGCTCACTCGCTGGGTGGGGGCCTTTGGCCAGAGATGCGTGAGGAAAAATGACTCCCCCAGCACACACAGCCCAGCTCCTCCGTCTCTTATTTAGAAGAGGGCCTGTGGTGGCCTTGAAAATACATTTCTTTTTTTTGCAAAAATTTCCATGTGGAGGAAACAAAATGTATTTGTAATCTGTGACATCAGGGAAGGGGTACAGACATCGTGGGCTTTGTTTTTAACTGAGCCCCTGTGACTCTGGGCCTCCACCCCTGCCCCAGGCTGCAGAGTGGAAGTTATTGTTCTTACCCTGAGACTATGTATAGTATATAGTGTGTGTGCAAGGGGAGGTGTGTGAAGCACAAACACAGTGTGCAAATTGTCTGTGATGCCCCAAACACCAGAAATGTGTGTGTGTGTGGCCCTGAAGCCTGGACGCAGTGTATAAATGGGGGGGGGGGGGCTGAAACCCAGGTGGTAGGTTTTAGCACACCCACATTTTTCTGGCAAGTGAGACCACAGCTTTCCCAAGACTCACCAAGGGGCCTGTGACCCAGAAACGATTAAGTGCCATGGTGAGGAGGTTAAAAATAATCCTGAAATGGTACTGAATGTACTAGAGAACAAAACTCATCGTTAGAGCTAAGGGTCACCTGGCCCAAGGTTTGAAGCGCCCCTTAGCTCTAAACAGCACTGTCCATTTCTAAAGCACAGAAATCCCCACTGCGATGAGAAGATCAGGACAGGGCAGCGAAGAACGTGTCCCACATGTGGCCCCAGCGCCGAGAAGCATCTCACACCCAGGACTGCCCAGCCCCACCCAAGGCTCCTCCTACCTCGGCAGAAGCCTGCAAGGAAGATGGCAGCTGAGCTACCCACTGGCCACAGGCCAAGGCCACTGAAGACCCCAGCCCGGTGGGCCAGGTCACTGCCCTCACTTGGCGAATGAGGACCTGAAGTTCAGAAGCGAAGCCAGTGGTTCCAGGTGTACAACCAGCCAGTGACATCAGCCTTGTGCTGCTCTTTGTTCCAAGCCTAGTCTTCTAAGGTGTTTCTCAGAGGCCCAGGGGATCAATTATTGCAAGGAGGATTTCCTCTTTAGTGACCCCCTTTCCCTACTCTCCCATAGACGCCGGAGGGAGGTGTAGTGTCAGCCCGGCCCAGCCAGCCCTGCCCTTGCTTGTCCCCATCACCATGCGGGGAAGGAGGAGGGGACATAATGCCAACCTTCACTCAGTCATGTCAGGGCCAGAAGCAGACCCAGGAGCCTGAGAGGGTCTGGAGAATTCCCGGGGCCAGCTTCGGAGCCCCACACAGAGGAGGACAGGCCTGGCTGGCCAGTGGCTGTGTGACCTGGGACGAGCCCCTCATCCCACCCTGAGCCAAGCCAGCCCCAGGTCCGGCCCTGGAGACAGAGATGGGCAATGCATCAGGAGGGGAAATGCTACCAGATGTTTGGGGGTTCTTATTTTGAATCATTTGCCACCTCTGTACAAAGGATTCTGTGCAGACTAACCGAGAGAAAGGGGGAGAGGTGTAACACCTGCTGAAATCCTGCTCCCCCTGGCCCTGTGCTAAGCATTCTCAACCCTACTCCAGAGGAGAAAACAGAGGTGCTTTCTACACAGCTGGAGTAGATCCCAGGCCGTGTGGCCAGCCTCTGTCCTTCAGGATTACTGTCTCGTTAGAGATGGGGAACTTCAGCCACTTGACCCAGGTCACACAGGAGAAGAGAGCTCTGAACTGTGCTCATTCTTGATTCCTCACTCACCGACCAAGGAGGCAGGGCATGGCACAGCTCTGTCCTCTGTTCTGCCACAGTAACTTAACCCATGTGAACTAAACTGTGCCTCCCAAACGGCCCCTCCCAAAGACAGGGCTGGTGCTGGCTATACATCCTGCGCTTCGGCTGCTCAGGCTGGGCCACTGAGCAGAAGCAAGGTTCTGGTTTTAGGAGCAAGAGCTGGATAAAGCTTCACTTCTCTCCCTGCTGCCCCAGGAGTCTGACTCAAACACTCCTTAGCAGGCACTGGCCCCATCCCCTGTGCTCCTCTCTCTCAAGTGACATGAACTCCTCAGCCAGAAGACCACATCTAGCCCTCTGCTGAGAGGACCTCCTGGCTATCTTTCAAAACCATCCTCTCCCCATCAGCCCTGCCTCAGCCCTTCAAGCCTCCCTGCTGCCCGCCTGTGGGCCTGTCCCAGCCCCAGACCCCTCACAGGTCTCCCCTGCCTCTACACTCTCAGCCCCGGGATCGTCTAATACACAAACGAACCATGCAAGTCCTTGCTGCTGCTCAAGTCCAGCCCACAGGCTCCAGGTAACCTGGCCCCTGGGCATGTCCTAAGCACATTCGGGAACGCTCACTGCTCTGCTGCTTCCCAGGTGCGAGGCCACAAGGCTCTCATAGGATCAGTTCCTGCCCCTTTGTATCTGACTCCTACTGATCCCTCAAGACCCAGCTGGTCTTGAACTAGAGCCTTAATCAGACCCTTCAATACCTCTTAGCCTTCTTGGGATGCGTCTTGACCTGTAGTGAATCTTTGTGCCCTGCCACCCTTCAGTTAAACCCAGGCTCCTCACCCACCTCTGTCCTTGGACCTGGCATGGGGGCACAGGACAGATGCCCCAGGGCTGCTCATAATTAAGTTTCTCTCACTTGCATTTCAAACTCAGCCAGTCTCATGGGGCTGTTTTCAGAAGATTCCCAGGGGTCCACTAAGCAGGAAATCCTACTTTGCAGTAATTGATTTCCTGTGCCTCTGAGAAACACCCTAGAATTCTGGGCTTGGAAACAAAGAGCAGCATAAGGCTGCTGGCACCTCAGAAAGGCAGGTGCCCCAGTCAGTGCTTCTCCCAAGACAGACTGCAATGCAGATGGTGCAGGGCAGGGCCAGAGCTGCGTCACTGGAGACAATGAACACATCAGGGGTGCTGAGGGCTGACGCCCGGAGTGAGCTGTTCCCACTCACCTCTAAATCAGTGGACCAGAGCTAGGCCCGACCTGACAGAGGAGCTTAACTTCTCCAATCCTGAGGTTCTGCATCTGCCTACAGGATTGCCTGAAGCCACGTCTCCTCTGGATGCCACCAGCCTTGCCTGTCCTTTCCTGCTTACTGATGGACAGCCACAGTGAGCCTTTGTCACACACAGATGTGACAGGTGGAGCCCTTAGTCTACCTAAGAGCTGCCCTGAGCCTGCCACCTGAGGCCTTTCACGACACAGTCGCTGGCCCCTCAGCACCATCCCTCTCAAGTGGCCACAGGCAGCTCCCACTTCACTCCAGTACCAGGAGCTACTTCTGCTTTGTCACAGACAAAACCCTATCCTGGCCTAGTCTATCCCAGCTATTCCAGGCCTTCACAGCCACTTCCTGTTCTACCTGACATCACCTCCTCCTCCTTGCAGACTCGGCCAGGACACCCACCTCCCAGAACAGTGACAATCATGCTGCTCCCACCTTGGTGCGCCCAAGAAGCACTTGCCACACACCTATGCCCCAGCAGGAGGATGGCCCCTGGCACTGAGTAGTCCCTCTGAAAAGGTATAGCCAAAGAAGCTAGTTCTGTGCAGAGCAGAAAGGATGAGATATGAAAAGAAGCCCACAAAGAGGAGGCATGATTACCAACGGTCTGGACCCAGTGGGGTGAGTGAGGGCTGGACTGTCTGGCCTCACAGGCAAGAAGCATCAGACATGGTGGCCACTTCCCAGGTGCCCACTTACACTGGTCAAAGATGACTTTTTCCTGGTGCTTGCTCTGCTCCAAAAGCTTCACAGTGTTTTGCAACTTCTTCTCTTGTTCAAACAGTTTTTTATGTAGTTTGGTGATCTCTGCTTTCATTTCTCTTATCTAAAAAGAAAAAGGAATTCAAAAAGTGAACTAAGAATATAAAACATGAGGCAGGAACATGGCAAGTTTGAGCCCAGTGTGGGCAACCTAGTGGCTTAGGGAAACTCTGTCACAAAATAAACAATTAAAGGGCTGTTAGTTAGTGTAAAAGCCCTCAGTTCAATCTCCAGTACCACAATCAATCAATCAATAACATATTACATAGGAAGAATTACAAAATCCTATCAAAAGATGTTCACTTTCACTAGCAAAGATATTTTTTAAATTAATTAAGTTTATTGGTATATTGTAGGTATATATAATGATTCATCATAGGGAATTTGTACCTCTACATGATATATCTGGATTCTTTTTTCCCATTCCCCTACCCTTCCTTCAACCCCTCTTTCCCTCCTTATTTATAAAAGCTGTGTTTCCATTTTTTCCTTTTTTTCTTATTTTTTCCTTTCCCTTCCTTCCTTTCCTCCACCCCCTCCCTAGTTCCCCTACTCATTTGGACATTTTCCTATTTCACAATATCTATTATACATTTTGGTCCTCATTTACAGTTTCAGTTTCTCATACTAGAGAAACAATTTGGTATTTATACATGCATGTTCAATTTATTTTACTTAAGAGTATGGTCTCAAGATGCATCCATTTAGCTATATGTCTCAAGTTTATCCTTCTTTATGGCTGAGTAGTACTCCATTGTATAAAAAAATCACATCTTCTTCATCCATTCATCAGCTGATGGGCACCTGGCCTGTTTCCAAGATTTAGCTATTATAAACTGTGCTGCTATAAACATGAGTGTGCATATATCACTGTGGTATGGTTTTAATTCTTATGGGAAGATACCAAGAAGAGGAATAGCTGAATCAAATGGAACCTCTAGTTTTAGTTCTTTGAGGAATTTCCACACTCATTTCCACAGTAGTTGCACCAGTCTACTCCCACCAACAATGGAGATGGGTTCCTTTTTTCCTACAGCCCCACCAGCCTTTGTTATTGGTTGATTTCTTGACAACAGCCATTCTTTCTGGAGATGGAATCTCAGAGTTGTTTTCATTTACATCTCACAAATGACCAGTGATGCTGAACATTTTTTTCATACATTGCAGTTTCTACTTCATCTTCATTTCAGATGCCCATTTCTGGGTTGGGTCTTTAAATCTGGGGGGGGGGGTCTGATTTTATTAAGTTTTTTATATATTCTAGATAGTAGTCCTTTGTCTGAGGAATAGCTGGTAAAAATTTTTTCCCACACTGTGGGTTGTCTCTTCACTCTGTTGCTGGTTTCTCTTGCTGTGCAGAAGCTTTTTAATAAGAGATCCCACTTGTTGATTCTTTGCGATAGTCCCTATGTGACTGGGGTTTTGTTCATAAAGTCTTTGCTTATATCAATGTCTTCAAGAGTTCTACGTAATCTATCTTCCAGCAAGTTTAGTGTTTCTGTTTTAATATTTAGATCTTTGAACTGGAAGCCTTTTTCTGCTGCTCAGATTGACAAAACTGGATAAAACCCAGTGGGCTGAAGAGAAAACAGTCTGGTAACCACTGGTGGGACTAAACGGGCATGGCCCAGCTATCAGGCCTGGCAAATCTACCAAAGTGTAAAAGCACTTGGGTGTCTGACCCAGCAACCCTATACCACGGCACTTACCCCAACGAGTAACAAAATCAGCACAAGAAGATGCCTTGATATTAACCTTGGCACTGCTACTGGTAGGAAAAAAATAAGCAACCTGGCTTGTTTAATATGAATCTCAAAAAGTAATGGTACTTACATAGAAAGGAATAATTTTGCCACTATTAAAAATGTTTACAGATTTATTGCTATCAAAAGATTATAGTAGGTGACAAAAAGATCCCAGAACACAGCCTGTATATTGTATCTAAGGCATTCCTGTTTACTATATACACACATACCCAAATCCATAGATACGTTTACTAAGATGGCAACAAAACATTAATAGCAATATCTCCAAGAGATATGATTTCAAATTGTTTGAGGTTGTGACCATTAATCCTGATATGTCAACATCACTGGACAAGGCCTAGCAGATCAGAAAGCAGGCTTCTAGGTGTGTGTGGGAGGGTCATGGAGGTGTGGCCATGGTCCCTCTTCCCTGTCAACTCACATTCCTAAGGAGCCTTGGTTGGCCCTGGATATCTGATCCCCTGCCAGGACTGGGGTCCAGGGTGGAGACCCCTTTGTCCTGGGAAATGGGGTGCAGTCATGGTCTAAGAGGAACTGGTTACTGCTTCCACTGACAGCATCCACATGATGCTAGCTTACCAGGACGCAGAATGTAAAAACTGTGAGGTCAGGGAGGCTTCTAATCAGGTCTCAAAGGAAGGCACAGAAGGCCAGGCAAAGGGCCCTAGAGCAGAAGCTGTTCAGAGTAAAGCCAAAGGTGAAGCAGGGACTCCAGGATATTGGAGATGCTGGGGATGTAGTAAGTGAGTAGAGCCAGCACAAGAGAGGACTTGTGGGCTGCAACCAGTAAGGCCACAGGGGTGGGGCTGCCAAGCTCTTCGGATTTCAAGCACAGAGCTATAGGACTTAATGTTTGCCCTGCTAGGTTTTAGTCTTGCTGTGTGCTCTGATTCTTTACTATCCCCCATTCTCCCTTTTGGAATGAGAATGTTTACCTTGTACCATTGGATCTTTTTTTGTACTTTGAAGAAAAAAAAGGAAAAACATAAGTTCAGAGCTAAGAATTTGCCTTGAGACTCAGAAGAGGCTTGGATTTGGACTTCTGGAAAATGCTAGAACTGTTGAGAATTTGGAGAAGGGATTATTCCATTTCTGGATGTGCTCAGGATAACTGTATTATATATTAGGTGGAATTATGAATTTGCTATTGTCTTTATTTGGAGATCAATGATGGTTTAAGGAGATGTGTTTCGGTGTGAAATGGACAAGGGGTGGATTGTGACAGTTAATCCTGATAGATCAACTTCACTGGATTGAGAAATGCCTACTAGATTAGTAAAGTATGCTCTTGGGTGTACAGGGGTGAGTCACAGAGGTGTGGGCTTGGTATTACGCATGGTCCCTCCCCCATGACTCTCTGGCACTGCTCCCCTGCTGTGCCTCCTGGCCATAATGAACCACACAGCTTTGCCCCACCATACTGTTCTGCCGTGATGTCTCTGCCTTGGAGCCTACTGACCATGTAATGAAGCTCCTGAAAATGTGAGCTAAATCAAACCTTTTCTCCTTCAGGCTATAGGTGTATAGTGCTGCTTTAAACTTTTTCTCTAGATTCTACATGCAAAAAAACATGAGATTTTTGTCTGAGTCTGGTTTATTCCACTTAACACAATGATCTCCAGTTCCATTCATTCTCCTGCAAATGACATGACAGTGTTCTTTATAGGTAATACTCAATTTGTATCATACTATAATCATTTTTGATAGCAATAAATATAGCTCTACAACATTTTCTTATCCATTCATCCATTGACAGGTGTCTAGGCTGATTCCGTAGCTTAGGTGTTTGTGAACTGTGCCACAATGAGCATAGGAAGGAAGGTATCTCTAAGGCAGGTATCCCCAACACCTAGGCCATGGATCAATACTGGTCCACAGCCTGTTAGGTACCAAGCTGCACAAAAGGAGATGAGTTGTGGACAAGTGAGCAAAGTTTGATCTGAATTTACAGCCACTCCCCATCACTTGGATTACTGCCTGAGCCCTGCCCCCTATCAGATCAGTAGCAGCATTAGATTCTCATAGGAGCATGAACTCCATTGTGAATTGTGCATGTGAGGGATCTAGGTTGCATTCTCCTTATGAGAATCTAATGCCTGTCGATCTTAGGTAGAGCTGAGGCAGCAGTGCTAGCACTGAAGAACGTAATCACTACATATCACAAACATATACTAATTTTAAAGAGAAATCTCACACATACATGTATATATACCCCCGTCTATGGAAATATCATCTTCCACAAAACCAGTCCTTGGTGTCAAAACGGTTGGGGACCACTGCTCCATACATAGCACACTAACTTTAACTCTCCAGGGTATATACCAAGGAGTGATGTTAAAGTCTTACAAAGATAATACAAAGGTTTTAAAAAGAGAGTATGATCCATTAGAAGGACCTATTTTGATTTTTCAGAGTAAAGTGTGGATGGGAAGTAAATCACCTCCCCAGTTCTCTGAAATGAAACACACACACAACAGAATCTCTCTTAAACCATCCCCAAGGCAGAGGACACCCCCTTCCTCTCAGCCAAACACCCTGCCACCAGCTACGCTAGTGAAATACCTCTGCTCCAAGAGTAACTATGTTGTCAGCTCATGAAGAATTCCTTTAGTTTGCTCCCAAACTTGCTCATGGCAGTAGTACTTACAATCCAATTATAGAATTTACTGAATATTAATTAAAACTATGAACTATGTATTTGAACAGAGAGCTAGCTGTATGAAAACTAATATACACTTTAGGAAAGACCAGATAAAGATGAGTCACTGAAAAACACATTTCTGGCAAATTAGGTGTGGGTGAGCCAACTATAAAGGATGTGGGAGGAACAGACTACAGGAATTCTATATTCAGATTGCTTTTAGAGTGTCTAAGTTTTCTCTTCAACTTAAAGAAACAGAAATTGGAAGTGACAGACATACAGTATGAATGTGGCTTATGAAAGAAAGAAGATGTGGAACTCCAATCAGCAGACCCATATTCAAAGAAAAGGCCTGGTCCTACATCAAAAGAATGGCAAATGAATGTACATTTATCTGTTTTAAGTTAAACTAAAATGCTTAAGGTATGTATCATTTTTTGATTCCTTGCCTTAACCTACTTTTAAGATTAACCAAGCATGTCAGGTACAAGGATTTTAGTGGTTCTTCCAAAACACATCCTAATTTAAACATTACATTTGCTTTGATTTTCTTCTGCAGGCTCTGGGCCCAAAAGACTTGGGCTCTGGTCATGGCTTACAGGCTGCACACTCTAGGACAAATTCACCCCACGTTCAGAGCCTTAATTACAACATCTGTGCCACCAGAATGACAATCTCTGGCCCATCAGTCACCCCGCAGTGGGGGAAGCTGGGGGAGAATCACTGCACACCTGCCTAGCCAACGCCTATCCCATTTATACAGTCAGCTCTGCTCGCACTTCCTCCGGGACATTTCAGCGGCCATCCCTTCCCCATCACTGTGCTGTCACAGTGACTGCAGCAACTGGTCATTTACTTGCCTGCATCAGTAAGTGCCTTTCTTTCCTCTGATCACCCATGCCTGGCTCAGAGCAGGTGCCATGACACCATTTGTGAATTGGCAGATTCGCTTTCACTGGCACTCTCCTAACACCCTGTACATGGCCTGTCTAGCACTTGAAACAAGAAATTTTAATTACTATATGTCTGCTGTTCCACTGGATTCCGGTCTTCATTTTTACAGAAAGATACTACAGTGAAAATAACAAGGCCTCCAAAGCACAGCTCTGGCACATCCTGGCTGTGCCATTTAACTCCCTAGAGTTTAAGCTCCAACTTTTAGATCAAATGAAAATAACAATATATTAAAAAATAAAAAATGAAAGGCATAAGGACATTTGAGCCTTACAGTTCAAATGTACTTCTCATTTGTTAATTAAAAAGAACACCTGACTCCCTGAGCTACAGGTATGGGCAAATGGGATGGTGAGTATAAGCAGATTGCTGGACATCGCACAGGCGCTCAGCAGAACAACTCTTACCAAGCGCCTTGGCACTGAGCTCAGAGCCGCAAGCCACTTTCCTCCCCGGAGGTCACAACATTCTCCGTCAGTGTTCAGCCTGACTTCTGGGGTAGCTCTATTTGCTTATTTCTTTCCTTTATAAGATGAACACTTCAAACATTTACAACAGCAGAAAGAACTGGATAATGACCCCCTGGTACCTATCCAGCCTCAGCAATCATCAGTGCAAGACCAAATTACTTGATCCACACCACTGCTCATCCTCTTCCCAAGATTATTTTGAAACCAATCCTAGAAACCAATCATGTCTTTTTATCTATAAAATGTTTTAGCATATATCTCTAGGAAAAAAGTTTTTAAAACCCCAAAATATCATTAGCATATCTAAAAAATGAAAAGAATTCCTTAGTCCAGGTTGAACATACCTTATCTGAAAGTCCAGAATTCAAATGCTCTCAATCCAAAACTTTTTGAGTCAATTGGATTTTGGGTTTACAAGTTAGAGATGCTTAACCTGTGCCCAAATTCTGAAGAAAAAAAAAAAACCCAAAACCATTTGCCTGGTCCAAGAATTTTAAATAGTGGTATTCAATCTGTATCACCAAATACTGAGTCAGGGAACATATTTCTCTGATTGTTTCCTAACTTTAATTTTTTTAAACAATTTGTATGATTCAGGATCCAAATAAGATTCACATTTTGCATGTGTTATCTCTTAAGTGTCTTCTAATTCAGTGGGTCTGGAAGCTCCAGATAGGGTCTGTAGACACAGGCTGCTAGGCCACTCCTACAAGGGCTGATTCAGTTGGTCTGGGGTTCCAGCCTTGTGACAAGATTCTTTGTGACAAATTTCCAGAACCCACACTTTGAGAGTCACTGTAAGTCTACAGGTTCCCCCTCCACCCTGCCTTTTTCCTTTCTTACCAGGAGACAACAGATTCTGAGCTCATATTGTGTATTTGCTGTCCAGACCTAGAATCAAGCCATTTCTCCAGGAAGCTCTGGGTCCTTTTAGAGGGAAGAGGCACTTAGAAACCATAATTTGGGCATTAGAGGTCCTTATTGATACTGGGTTGAATTTTATTTCTTTAGCCTTTTACATGGAATGAATTAGTACATTTTTTAAAATATAAAATACATCATAGTGGTGTTTATAATTCAAATTTAGGAATTCAGGGCTTTTATTTCTTTGATTTTATATCTTCAGTCTCTAACAGTAAAAATCTCAGTTTCTGGTGAAGTTATTTGTTTTATCTTATAATAGAAATATAATAGTTTCAAAGTATCAATACCAGTATTATCACTAACAATATAACCACTGAAAGAAGTTCAAAGTTTTGAAGTTTTTGGTGGTTCCTTTTGCCCTCGAAGTATTTCTACTAGGGGTATACAATCGAATCACCACACTGTGGGCATCTTTGTGTGGCTATGCGCTCAGGGCCATGTACAGTAAAGGTGCTATGGTGCATCTTACTATGAATTTTTGGAAATAGTTTTTCATTCTATTTTGATGAATTTTGTTTATAATTACGTAAAACTTTTATATAATTTCAAAGTCAAACCTACAAGACAAGGTCTACTAAGAGAAATCTAGCTTTTATCCCTTCCCCTCCAATCTTTTCTTTCACATCCCTGTGCATAGCCTGTATATTTACTGTTCACCCGCCATTCAAAAAAAAATTATTCTAAGCAAGTGTCTATCTGTATTTGTACCCATCCACCCAACTTTCTTAGATAAACATGCACATGATGGACACTTTCCAAGCAGTCATATGGGATGAGACGTTAAATGCAAAAGGGAATTTAATGATACTCAGGAGTAAACAGCAGGTAGTTAAAAGCCATTGGGATTGCCGCTGAAAACTTAGTCTGCTTTACATGCACTTCACACCAGGCCAAAGGTACCAGGCACACTGTGCGCTGAAAATAAAAACACTGTATTGAGGGTCAAACATTCAATTTAGATATGTTAACTTAAAAATCTTATGGGACAGGTATGAGGGTTTGGTAGTATGTGAAGAAATTATTCATTCATCTATTCATTCCTTAAAATATATAAACAAACTAGATATGGCCCCATGAAATAAGACAGAGGGTAAACAAACATAAAATTATAATTTGTGAAAAAGGCTAGGATAAAACAGAAGACAACACCATGGGTGAGTGATCAGGGAGACCTCTCTGACTTGGAGGTAACATTAAGCTAAGACTTGAAGATGAAAAGGAGCCAGAAGGGGGACAGGAAACATTACAGGGAGCCAGGCTGTCTTGTGTCACATATGGATAAGATGGAATCGAGGTGGGTGGGTTAGAAGAAAGGAAAACCCAGTGGCAGCCACAACTCCTGAGTCTCACCATCCTCCTGACACAGGTCTTCCACTCGATGCCCCCATCAGCTTGAAATAAATTTCCTGTGCAAGGGATAGTTATGAACTTCCCCAAACTCAGCACTCCCAAACTGCTCCCCAGGTTCGCAAGAAGGAAGCTCAGGACAGGCTCCTCACTAGAACATTCAGAGCACAGGGGGGTGCCTCTCTGGCCAGGTCTCAGACATGTCAAAAGGAGTATAACTAAATGGGGTGATGACACAGAACCCAAGCTTCTCTTCTGACTTCCCATTGGCCTTTGGCAGGCACTTACAGGGGAGACAATGAAGGGGGACATACCTATCAGGCCAGGCAGAGAATTCTAACTTCCTACACCTGCACACTGTTCTAGCAGGGGGCTCCCGGATTAGCCAGAGAGGCTAGGCACCTTGTCACAACAAACACAGGGACTCCATGGACACCAGGGCAGGGCTCTGCCTGACTGGCTCTTGCTCTGGACCTGTTACTCCTAAGTAGTTAAAACAAACATGAACGTGGCTCCCTAAAACCCATTGAAAACTATCACCAGGGGTCAGAGGCTCCAGGCAAAGGCACCTACAGTGAAAGTGACTGTGAGTAGACAGCAGGAGCCGATCCGTGAGGGCAAGCAGACCTTAAAGCCTCCAAAGTGAAAGAATACACTCTGAGTTCATATACTTATGGTTTCCAGCCAGTACCTCGACCCAAGCCTCGGTGTCCCTGGATATGGAGTGTGGACAGAATCCTACTCACTGAAGTGCACTAGGAGTGGGGTACTCGTGCCAGGGCTGTAAGCTGAGCTCTCAGGGTGCTGGGGATCAGAGGAGAACACAACAAAGTTGTAATAAACTTGATGCCTTCCCCTCCCTCTGACACATACCCACACTGAGGGAACATCAGCGGTGGGCCAGCCTGGACTGGGCACAGAGGGGATAGAAACACAGGCCCAGAGCTACCCTTGTGCTGCTGAAGCATGCGTCACCACCTACCTGCCCACAGTGGAGGGTGCACTGGCCATCTGGCGGGAGGGAAACTCTCCAGAGGAGCTTCAGTGACCTCGAGGCCTCTTCCAGGATCTGCCTGGCTGTGCTCAAGCTGGAGACAAACTTGCACAGAGATGCGGAGTGTGGGCCCTACCAAAAAAAGAAGCCGTTTAATGCAGTCTTGAAAGAGATTCTGGACAAGCAAGCTCTAACAGATGTAGGCTTGTGTTTCACAGGCTGAGCAAGAGCCTGGTGCCATACAACACCAATTAATTGCTCTCAAAAACTGGTGAATGGTAGAGTGTGAGAGAATTTTGGTGGTGAGTGTAGATGAATTAATAATCACCAGTCTTAACTCATTGCTACTACACCAAGGAGAGGATCCGTGCCAGGGCCACTCGCACCACTCCACAGCCCACAGGGCCCCTCCAGAGAAAATAACAACAGCAAGAGGAGCCGTGGAGATGTTTTTGTCACATGATGTTGGGCCTTGTAAAGTCTCCCTCACCCTCTCTGGTAACAGAAGCAAACTCACAGTGGGGGACGCCAAGGGCATTAAAAAAACACAGACTGTGACTCAGAGAAGGGGAAATAACAAAGAGGAAAAAAAGGAATTAAAAGAGCATTTGCCTTCCCAAGTAATAAATGTAGACTCACACACCCTTTTTAAATATCACTGACATAAAATCATACAGAAAAATACTCAAAAAGGACAAAGGTGTAGTGAAAGAGATGCTCATAAACAGAGACAAAATCTTTTCCGAAAGTAACATGGCAAGAGCCCTAAAAAGTTCACAACCTTTGAACCAGTAATTCCACTTCATACCTAACCAAAACTATGATCAGATTTATGTGTAGGGAGCCTCATTACAGTTTATATGCCCAACAAACAGTGAAAGCGAGAGTAGATGATGGTACAACCACATGTCAGCTTATTGGCAGCTACTAAAAGTCAAGTACTACAAAAATACTGAATGAGATAGGGAAAGTGTTAATACTATGTGAGTTCAAATACATGAAAACCATACATTTCTGAGTAGGTTTGAGAAAGTTTATGAATGCCCTAAATGTACATAAATCAAAATTTAAAGTGCTGACCTCTAAGAGGTAGTTTAATATCTTTTATTTTTAAACTTTTATACAATTTCTAGCTTTCATATAATAAAGATTTTAACCAGAAAAGAACAAGATCTTATTAGTATTTATTAACTTAAATATTTACCAGGACCTATTCCTGGGACCTAGGCTAGTTAGTAGCCATACAACGTTGAGAATAGACATTACCCTTGCTTTCCTGAAGCTTGCAATCTGGTGGAATACAAAATGCAAAATTGATTTACTATACATGTATCAGGATGTAGGGGCCTCAAGTATCCTCGGTAAAAAGTCCTGGGAAGAGGGACCACAACCTGTGACTCATGGTAGTGAGAGGTCTGGTCTAGTCTAGGTAGGCAGAGGATATGACCCAAGCCTTGGAGGAAGCGAGCAAAGTGTATGTCAAATGCATGGGTTCTCAATGAAAGGGAACTTAGAGGAAGAAGATTCCAGTGGGATGCGCAGGCAAAATGGGGAGGTAAAACAGCCTGAAGGAGATCCCAAGCCTGAGGGAACAGGGAGCCAGGATGGAGACAGGACGTGGGTAGCAAGTGCACTCAGCAGCACACAGCCCAGCCTGTTCATAGCAGGACACATGGGGGATAGAAGAGATGATGGAAGAGGCAGGCAGAAGACAGACCAGAAACCTGAGTCCCTGAAATCACTGTCCAGGGAGAATTAGTGGCTTCTGCAGGCCCACACTGACCTACCTGTGAGGCAGAAGCAGTGTCACAACATAGGGAAAGCACCTCAGAGGACAGAGAACTGAGTCTGAATGTGACTGCCTCAAGTCATTTCTCAGCATCTCTAGTGAGAACACATCACCTCCTTCATAGGCTTGCTCTGAGAAAGAAGTAATATACCATACAAAAAGCTCCTGTGTCAGAAGAGAGAAAGCCGTCACTGATCTTAAGGTGAGGTAGGACATTTCCCTCCAGCAAGCTCATCCCAAGGCAGTTGTGGAAACTGTGGTACAACATGGGTGGAGTGTGGTTCAGAATGGTGTGGTGTGGCTGATGTGGTACAGTGTGATACAGTATGGGGTAGTAAGGTACAGCATGATATGGTGTGGTATAATACGGTGTGATACGCTTCATGACTATCAGGGCCTCTAACTTCCTCACAGTAGCCACTGAGCATGAGCACACAGCCTGGCTGGGCAGTGGGTAGGTGGACTAGATAGATGAATGGCTAGACACACAGAGGGACTTATGGACAGAAGGACAGATGGGAGACTAGAGAGATAGAGGCACTCACAGGAGCAGTACAGCAGATCCCTGTGGAGTGGTCACAGTGTCACGGTACAAACCTCACCAAACTGTTCTCCCATAACCAACAACAAATAGTTCTCCATACTGGAACTGACCTCTGAGCTATTCTGGGCCTCATTTCTGGTCCCTTTTGGAGGGCCTCATTGAGGATGCTTGCCTGTCAGCCAGCCCCTGCACTTACTGCCCTGTAAGCATCTCTCTCCCAGGTTTCCATGGTCAAGTTACCTTTGTCTCCAGCTCTTGATTTGTGGGGCTGGGAGCCTCATGGGCTTGAATGTCCATCTCAGCAAGGAGCCTCTGGCCCTGGCAGATCTGCTTCCACAGGGCATCATAGTCCTCAAACAGGCCTAGGACATGGTGGCCACTCTTGCTGGCCCACAGGCGGTGGCCAGTGACCGGGTGGGGCATGCACGAGGTAGTGGTTGCAGAGTTGCTATCACAGGACAGGGAGTCCACATCATTGCCAGAGCATGGGGGAACCTCTGAAGCTGCAAAGCAAGGGGTGAAACATCAGATCATAGCACCCTGTGCTCACAGAGCTTACAATGCTGAAGCCAGCAAAGAAGGTCAAGGGAGGCCCTGGTGCTCACACGGTACCCAGCACAAGCCCAGAGGGGAAGAGCCTGGCTCCTGGGCCTCCACCTACACCATCCCACATCAGGCTGATTATTCACCTTGTGGGACAGGAGGAGGCTCAAGACAATTCACCCAATGCTTATCAACCACCCACACAGCAGAAGACCCCAGATGCACAAGGTGAGTCCAGCTGGTCCCACACTGCAGCAGCCCAGGGTCTAATCGAAACAGATACTGCAGGAGGTGCCACAGCACAGTAGGGACCAGCAGAGCCCAGAGAGAAATGGTCCTCGAGAAAGGAGGGAAAGGTCAGGGAAGGCTTCCCAGAAGCATCAACAAGTGGGCTGGACTGAACAAGGAGCCAAAATTACTCTAGGCAGAGGTAAAAGCCTGGTACCGTTTGCCTTTGGACCCACGGCAGTTTGGATAACTAATTCTGACTGGGGACAGCAGGAAAGGCTTTTCACCAAGAAGTCTCCATTCAGGATGAGTCTTGACGAGTAGTAGGGTTATCACTGGCTGAGAGTAGGACTGAAAGTCACAGTGAGGAGAGTGTGCAGCCTGCCTGCAGGATGGTGACCCATCTGTCTACCCCAGGGAGAAGGTGAAGGCTGGGCAGTCCCACTGGGGCTGCATGCTGGACAGCCTTGAAAGCCATGAAAGTGGCCATGCTTGAAGGCAACAGACCCCCAGTGAAGGAGGAGCAGAGCACCCAGGATTGACTGAGCCTAGCTCTGTCCGGCTGGCTACACCCACTTGCAACCAAGGGCTTGTAAGGACCCTCCGGGCATGCCCATCAGCCGCCCGTTGAGCCATGCGGGCACCTACAACAGTGCCAGCCACCACCATTACAACCCCACCCCCCCACCTCTGGCCTCTTGGCTGTGCAGCTACCTGGTTCCACACTACAGAGGCACAGGGCGACATAAAGGCCATTGTCCTGAACTGCAGAAATGAACAAGAGAGAGACGGCCTCTCTCAGGCTCCCTGAGGATAACGGAAGCCCACTGGAAAAGTGAAGAGAATCTCTGCAGTAAAGGCACACCAGACCACTGAACTTGGTAAGTTGGAGTCATCTTCACCTCCCATCAGAACCTGGACCATCTTCAGGGGAAAGGGAGCTGGAACCTGCAATAGAACCTGCAGAGTTCAACCCTGCAGGAGGACAGGGAGCTCAACTGGGGACTTGGAGCCTGAAATCTGCCTGAATCTCATGGGTCTGTGACTGGCTTACTGAGACCCATTGACTTATAACTGCACACTTCTGCCCACACTGTCTATTGTGACAGCAGAGACATACCCTGAAGGAGTCCTTTCATTTTTATCTTTTATTTGTTATTTTCAAAATTACCACTATTTTTTGCTCTTATTTTTAATTTTTTTCCTTCTCTTTCTACTCCTTTAAAATTTTTTATTTTTCTCTTTTTTCTTTTCTCTCTCTCTCTTTCTCTTGCTCCTTTGCTGTCCCACATTGTTCTTCATCTCCCTTTCTGTTCCTATTCTGGCCCTAGTTCATATTTCTTCTTTATTTTTCTTTTCTTCTCTTTGTTTCTCTCACCTGTGTCCTCTGGCCTCACTGCTAACCTTCCCCTACCCTTCTACCTACCTATCTCACTCTCCCCAACTCCTTCTAACTCCCCATTCTGAAGGGTAAAGTTGCTATACTGAAGAGTTTATTCACTATCAATATATGTTGGGTTGGTCCTTGATTTTGATTTAATTCACACAGTTAAAGGTGATAGATTAATAACTATCACAAAATGTCATTTTCTAAGAGGTACTTGATGTTATTGTGTTGCTAATTGTATCACTTGGGCTAAGGTGTTCTGATCTAATCAGTTGTCCTTCCTAGTACAATGAAAATGAGACAGTCTCAGAGCCATTAGAGACTCAAAACCTAAAGACTAGCTATCTGAAGACACCTCTGAGATGCAATCATTCCATAAGGGTTCTAAATACATCAACAAAGATACTTACAATAAGCAACTTCAAAGTATCAACCCAGGAACTAAACCAAGGACAGTACCAAAAACAAAAACGAGAAGACAATTGAGTAAAGTGACCTGCACCCCACAAAAGGCAAATTCTGGGGAAAACGAGGTGGAAAAGTCTGACAGTCAACCACCTGGACACCCTGAACTGATAGCACAGGAAGTAACAAAACAGATGAATGAGGCTCTAGAAAAATTCAAAGCAGAAATAATCTCCCAGATAACTACAGAGATGGTGAGCAGAGTGAAAGACATGATTAGAGGCTCTAGAACAGAAACAGATTAAAAAAAATAGATGAGCTCAGAAACATGCTGGAAGCCATGAATGCCCGGCATAAGAAAGAAAATGGAAACCATGATCGCCCAACATAAGAAAGAAATGGAATCCATGAAACAGATTCAAACAGATATTCAGGAGATTAAAAACTCCATTGAAAGTCTACAGAGCAGATTGAGGGAATGTGAGGACAGAATTTCAGATATAGAAGATAGGATTGCAGTTAGTGACCATGAAAAGAGAGATTTCTTCAAAATTGTAAGGGACCATGAGAAATCAATCCAGCAGCTTCTAGAGGATGCAAAGAAGAACAACATAAGACTGATGGGAGTCCACGAAAAAACAGGAGAAAGTACAATTGACATAAAAAACTGTTCACAGAACTAATAATAGAAAACTTCCCAGACAGAGGTGGAGAATTGGTCATACAGATAAGTGAGGCATATAGAACTCCAACTAGCCATGATGAAAAAAAAAAATCTACACCTAGACATATAATAGTCAAGATCCTAGAAACCCATCAGAAAAACAAAATTCTACAGGCAGTTAGAGAAAAGAAACAAATCACCTACAAAGGAAAGCCCATCAGAATCACGACAGACTTCTCAACACAAACCTTCAAATCAAGGAGAGACTGGAGTGAAGTATTTCAAGCCCCAAAAGAAAATAACTTCCAACCTAGACTGTTGTATCCTGCAAAATTATCTTTCAAAATCGATGGGGAAGTTAGATACTTCCACGACAAAGAACACCTGAGAAATTTCATGAACACCAAACCAGCACTCCGAACAATTCTAAGCAATATCCTAGAAAAAGGCAATGAAGGTCACAACTCCATGAGGCCCAACAGAGGAAAGCCACTAGGCAAGGTAAGACACTAAAGGGAAAGGGGGAGAAAATACGAAATAAAAGAGCCAACAACAGTAAAACATCATGACAAGGATGAGTCAATATCTATCAATTATAACTATCAATATTAATGGCCTCAATTCACCACTCAAAAGAAACAGACTGACAGAATGGATTAAGAAGCAAAATCCAGCAATATGCTGTATATAAGAAACACATAACTCAAAAGGAAATTCATAGACTGAAAGTAAAAGTATGGAAAACAGTTCTCCACATGACAGGAACCCAGAAAAAAGCAGGCGTAGCAATCTTATTTGCAGACAAGGTAGATTTCAAACCAAAACTAATTAAGAGAGACAAAGATGGTCACTACATCCTTGTGAAAGGAACAATCCAAGAGGAAAAGATGAAAATCCTAAATACATATGCAACAAATACGAATGCTCCCAACTATACAAAACAATTATTAATGGACATGAAAAACCAAATTAGCACTAACACAACTGTGGTGGGGGACCTCAATACCCCAGTATCACAAATAGACAGATCATCTAGACAAAAAATTAACAACGAAATCCTAGAACTGAACCAAGCTATTAAACAAATGGACTTAATAGATGTTTACAGAGTGTTCCACCCCACAAAATCAGAATACACATTCTTTTCAGCTGCACACGGGTCATTCTACAAAA